TCCCTGCCTCCTTCCAGCCCTGCAGCCCTCCCCAGTAGGGACTTGCCTCAGGTGGAGGACTGGATCAGTGTTCCCTCCCCAGCGAGATCAACAGCACCCTCCCCCGCCTCCTGCTAGCCTGGTCTGGCAGAGGACAAAAGGCCTACAGCAATCCCTGGCTGTGAGGAATTGGAGGCGGCAAAACCTGAGGGGGGGGGGAACGCAGCAGCAGCAGCAGCAACAGAGACCCTTGGAGCTAGAGAGCTCTCTGATCTCTCAAGCTGAGTGGCCGGCTGAGAGGAGCAGACCAGACAGCGGAGCTGAGCCGACCAGAAAGCTGAACAGAGGCCTGACCAGAGCAGAGACGAGCACCGAAAGACAGAAGGGAGCCAGCAGAGAAAACAACAAAGAGGCCGGAGCAGCGAGCAATGGAAGTGAAGGCAACAATTAAGTTTGAGGTCCCAATAGGAAGGGAGGGAAGACCCCCAGTAAAGAATAAAAAGGAATTGGAGCTCAAAAACTTTAACAAAAATAGAGGGAAGAAAAGGATAAATAAAACTAACATAATAGTAAGAAGGTTAAATAAATAACAAGGTAGAAAAACGAGCACAAACAGGCAGATAAAAGGATAGGGGGAAAAATAGGCACAATTACCTAGAACAGAGAAGGAAGAAACAAGGCTAACAGCAAAGCACATCCACCAACCAAAAAGAGGGATTTTCAAACAAACTCATGGAACAGGTGACTGATACTATTGTGGTATGCAATACGTGTTCCATGTATGTGCTTATGCCCAAAGAACACCCAAATTATACATGCATTAGTTGTAAACTATGTGAACTATTAGAGGAAAAAGTAAGGGACTTAGAGGCAACTCTAGCCAAACTCCAACCTACGAAAGAAAGCTATACCCAAACCAAACCAAATAATGAACAAATAACTCCCAGAGGATTTGACCCTACTGATAAACCCTTGGAGGAAGACAAATGGAGGTATGTCACACATAGAAGGAAACACAATAATCAAAGAAAGAAGCAGCAGACATCTAACAAACCCCTACTGCCCAATCTAACCCAACCAGAAGCAGGCCCATTAAAATTGAGCAATCGATTTCTCCCCCTAGATGGAAATACACAGACCCACAACCTCCCCCTCAAAGAAAACATGCAGACATCTAGCAAAGAAACAACACCAAACATTCCTAAAAGTCACATCAACAAACACACCTGAGATAAACAGAAAAGCACCACAGACTGCACCCCCCAAAAAAGGAAGGCAAGTGTTGGTAATAGGAGATTCTATCCTCAAAGGAACAGAATCAGCCATTTGCAGACCGGACATGCAAACCAGGGAGGTATGTTGTCTCCCTGAAGCAAAAATCAAAGATGTGGCTGAGAACCTAACCAAAATAATTAGGCCCACAGATTACTACCCTTTCCTCCTCCACATTTGGACGAATGACACAACAAAGAACCTGAGTACAATATTGAGAGATTATAAACAACTAGGCAATAAAGTTAAGGCACTAGGAGCACAAGTAGTGTTCTCATCCGTACTCCCAATGAAAGGCCAACCCCCATTCAGGGGAAAAAGAATTCTAGAAATAAACCACTGGCTAAAGGGTTGGTGTCGCCAAGAAAACTTTGGTTTCCTGGATCATGGACTACATTTCCTACGCGAAGGACTCTTGGCAAGGGATGGGCTGCACCTCACTAAAACAGGGAAAATGTACTTGGAAAAAGACTGCCCCAACTCATCAGGAGGGCTTTAAAGTAAAATTGACAGGGAAGGGTGACCAATCTTTAGAATCTCTAGAACACAAAACCAGTCATAAATCCCAAGAAAAAAAACCCAATGAGGTTTGGAGTGATGAGAAAAAAAGAAAAACTCCAACAACAATCAGAAGATGCAGGAAACATACCCACGGACAGGCATAAAGGTCTTAAATGCTTATATCCAAATGCTCAGAGCTTGGGGAACAAACGGTGAACTAGAAGCAATAGTACATGAGGGAGGGTCTGATATAGTTGGCATTACAGAAACCTGGTGGGACGAAACCCATGACTGGAATGGACTGATGGATGGATACAAATTGTTCAAAAGAAATAGATCTACAAAAAGAGGAGGGGGAGTTGCACTATATGTAAGAGAATACTACATATCTACAGAAATGCATGTGATCAAAGATAAAATCCCTCCAGAATGTATACTGGTCAATATAAAAGGAAAAAAAGTGACATTGCCATAGGTGTATATTACGGGCCACCCAACCAATCAGAAGAAATAGATGAACTCTTTGCCAATCAGTTAACAAACATATGTAGGAAGCATACCACAGTAGTAATGGGAGACTTCAACTATCCAGATATCAACTGGGAGACAAACTCTGCAGCGAGTGGGAGATCAAACAGATTCTTAACCAACCTAGCTGACAACTTTATCATGCAAAAGGTAGAGGAGGGAACTAGAAGTAAAGCTATACTGGACCTAATCCTTACTAATTGAGAAGAAGTGATAGAGGGAGTTGCCGGAACCCTGGGGGAAAGTGAACACGTCATACTGGAATTCAATATAATGCAAACACAAGCAATAGAAAATAATCCAACCAGAGTCTTAAACTTCAAAAGAGCTGATTTTAACAAGCTCAGAGAAAACCTAGGAAAGATTCCATGGACAAAAATCCTAAAGGGGAAAACAACTCAAGAAGTGTGGGAAACACTGAGGAGTATGATCATAGGGGCCCAGTCCAGCACAATACCACTGAAAAAGAGAAACAAGAAATTCAAGAGGAAACCAGCATGGCTGCACAAAGCTCTCTCTGACAAACTGAAAGACAAAAAGGACAAGTACAAAAAATGGAAAGAGGGACACATAACTAAGGCTGATTATCAGCAGACAGCCAGAACATGCAAAGATGAAGTCAAGAAAGCAAAGGCTCAGAATGAACGAAGACTTGCAACAGAAATCAAGGACAATAAAAACAGTTTCTTTCAACGTATTAATAACAAAAAAAGTCAAGGAAACTGTAGGTCCACTAAAGAGAGAAGATGGCAAGGAAGTAACAGGCAGTAGGGAGAAAGCAGAGCTGCTTAACTCATTCTTTGCATCAGTCTTCATACAAAAAGAAATTATAGCCCAACATACCAAAATACTGCAAAAGTCAAACTAGAAACAAAAATTAAAATAAGCAAGAAAATGGTAAGAGAACACCTATCCAACCTTGACAAATATAAATCACCGGGACCTGACAGATTACATCCCAGAGTTCTGAAGGAGCTGGCAGATGTTATTTCAGAACCATTGTAGCATATCTTTCAAAAGTCCTGTAGCACCGGGGAAGTACCTGATGATTGGAAAATGGCTGATATGTTTCCCATCTTCAAGAAAGAAAAAACAGACCCAGGAAACTACAGACCAGTCTAACATCAATACCTGGGAAGGTCTTGGAAAAGATAATCAAAAACAGATCTGCGAACAACTAGAAGCAAACAAAGTTATAACCAGTAGCCACCACGGGTTTGTCAAAAACAGATCATGCCAAACCAAACTTATTTCATTCTTTGATAAAGTGACTAAATTAGTAGACCAGCAAAACGCTGTGGACATAGTATACTTAGACTTCAGTAAGGCATTTGACATAGTAGACCACAACCTGCTGCTTAGTAAGCTAGAAAAAGCTGGAATAGACAACAACATCATCAGATGGATCTGTAGCTGGTTGACAAACTGTACTTGGTGAGTAGTCCTCAATGGTACTACATACACATGGAGAGAAGTAAGCAGTGGGGTACCCACAAGGCTCCGTCTTAGGCCCAGTACTCTTCAATATCTTCATCAATGACTTAGATGAGGGAATAGAAGGGGAACTCATCAAATTTGCAGATGACACCAAACTGGCAGGAATAGCCAACACCCCAGAAGACAAGCTCAGGATCCAAAAAGATCTTGACAAACTTGAACAAAAAAACTGGACAGTCATTTGTTTGAAATGGTATAGGTTCTCCTGCTTGAGCAGGGGGCTGGACTAGAAGACCTCCAAGGTCCCTTCCAGCTCTATTCTATGCTAGGATGTGAAAAAGTAATCACTTAAGGGATCACGAGCATTGAAATTTAAGCTAGCTGTATATAGAGCTAAAGCTTTTTCCCTTAATATATATTTTTTCAAGCATTTTTTAATTTGATAATGGCCTGTTTGATCAGTTGTGTTCTAGCAGCTTGTCACGACTGATATCAGATTTAAGGCACTGTATAGTGTACCAAGAACCTCCACTGAGATCTAGACTCACTAGATTTATATATAAGGCAATGGGGTACTTTCTTTACTCATTATGGTAAGGGTACACGACTTTTGTTGTCTTAAGGACCACCCAAATTTTGCATGGAGTGGTGAGACCTATACTTTAAAGGCGGAATGGGTCAATTCGCTGCGGCCAACTCACTGCGGGACAGTTCAACAAATACAAAAGTTAAATTAATTTCAACAGAACCATAGTCAATAATAATAATAAAGTAAATCCATAAATAAGAGTTACAATAATTTAGACGAAAACGTCACCAATAATAAAAGTAACTGAATGAAATGATTAATACAGCATTAATACTGCAGCAAGTTGGCCTGTGGTGAGTTGTCCGCAGCAAGTTGTCCTAAACACTTTAAAGGTGGGTATGTCTGGTGTTTGGGGAGGACAGTTCAGGAGTTTGGGTGAAATGGCCTTAAAAAGGCGCAAGTTTTTAAGTCATCCATTTGCTGCTCCCCAGCCCAAAAAAAGCCAAGGTTTTTTTTGCCCCACTCACTCTAGGAAATTGTGGGGCCACAAATTTGAATAGTAGAGGGCCATACTTTTTTTTATATGTACCCACATTACAAAACTAGGCCTTGTATTAAAATAAGGTATTTTTCCTGCTTTGGCTAAGTCTGAAAATTATTGTCTGGTTTTATAATTCTCCTTACCATTTCCATATTTATGAACTAGATTCTGTTTTGAATGATGGGTTTCAGGCAAGCTTTTGGGGAACCTCTGGGACCTGGTATATTCTCTGGCTTGAGGATGAAATATATGAGAGTAACTTGTGCAAAATTGGGTAGTAGCATTCCCTCAGTTCTGTATAAATAGAAGAGCTCCATGTAATACAAGAACTTAAATCTGGACTCTCATTGATTTCTTGTTCCTCTCAACATCTAGGATTTGTAACTGCTGCAGACATGGAAGAGGAGAATGAGCACTCACCAGTCAGGGAGGGTTCTGCACATAGTGGTGAGAAGCCAGCCAGTGAACCTTTCCTTGATTTGGATTGGGACCAATCAGGCATCTTCTGTCCTGGCCACATTATCATTTTGGTAATGGCTGCTCTGTTTTTCAAGGGATTATGAGGTGGCATGATGGAAGGGATGTTTCATACTGGTGCAGCACAAAAAATCAAAGTCACAGGGAGCAAAGGAAACTGATCCATATTAGGACGGTGCATGGAGAGTGATTTTGTTCAAAATTAATTTGTAGTGCTGCTGGGACAGACATGATGTCTTTTAATCTCAGGCCTTACTTTTAAATTCTGTACTAAACGTGGATATTCCTTGTACTCTTGGTCTAAATGTTATCTGGGAATCAGTGCAAACAACTTGATTTTTAAAACATTACTTTGTGACAGTAGAGTTAGGTATTCTAGCACTGGAAAGAGATGCAACAAACTACTAAACTAATAAAAATTATACCATGACAGTTGGAAGCCACCAAGTGATTACAAGCTCTGAGGAAGTCTATGCAACATCTTTCATTTTTTTGTGAATTAAAAGACTAAGTATCTTCTCATTTGAGAACTAGTGAGACTTGAACTTTATAAGATGCTTTAGAAGCAGCTGGAGTTTTGCAGCAGGAGCCATATTTTGTCCTTATTAGCATTACTATTACAACATCAGGAATACCACAATAGTAATTTTTAAGCCTCCTTAAAATTAGAAAGCAAACACGAAGTTGTACAAATTATTTGAAAAGAAGAATCTTCTATTTCTTGAGTATCTCAAAGCTTAAGATTTTTTTGAATTTAAGATTTTCAAGGAATTGGAACAAGATGAAACTTTGTCGCTGAATAGTATTTCATCAAATGCAGTAGTTAATGAATATTAAACAGGACATTCTGAATCAGCATAGAATAGGCCTTTCTGATATAGTGATAATGATTTACTTTTTTATTCTACTTTTATTAAAGTTTACAGATACAAAGCTAAAAAACTAAGACAAACTTAAAACAAATATAAAAGAGTAAAAAGAAAACAGAGAAAAAAAATTTAAAAGAAAAAAATAGTAAAGAAAAGAAAACAGATATCCAGTATAAAAATGACTTCCCCCCTTCATCATGGCAAGTACAAACAATTTCAGTAACTTACAACCTTTTCTGATACTACAACAAAAGAACTCTTCTTCCCATATCTCATCTCTTACTTATAAACAAATTCTTAAAGCCACATCATTCAGTCCTAATCAGCAAAAGTCCATTAACATTTAGGAGTAATAACAACATACTGTATATATGTTAACCTTGATCAAATATACCAACTTTATATTCCTTCCCTTTGTTTTTGGCAATCTTGATCTTTAATCCCTTTAAATAGTGTTATGTGCTCCTGGCTACTTTCCTTCGTGACCAGAGGCAAGCTCGCCCGACCAATAACCAGCCAAGACACAGTGAAGGCCTTTTGTTTTGTTTATTGCAATAAGCGGAAGACAAGCTTTCAAAGCTTGGTTCTCTTCAAAGTTTTAACCCAAAATATCTCCTTTTATTCATCCCTATCACCGGCCGCTACAGCCCTCCTCTTTCCCCATTGGCTGAGGTACTATGAGGTTACACTCTTTCCGTCCGCTTATACATATTTCCGGATAACATATTAAATCATATTCACATATACAATAAGAATAAGAAAAATTAGACATTTAAATGGTTATTTTAAACTCAGTATATATTTATGTCCCCATTTTAAACAATAAGTTCTTTTCCTGCTTTTCAGTGTGCCTTTCCTCTTATCTTATTCGGCTTAGTTTCCTATTTTCCCCTTCAACCTGTATTTCCTGGCTAGCCATTTCCTTTTTACAACTATATATATATATTATGGCTTCTCTTCTTCCTTTCTCAGACCCAGCTATTTTTGCCTATATGGTTTATCTTACTTCCTTTATGTTATCTCTTCCTGACTCTCACCATTTGTTTCTATTTAATTAGTTTCCATTGTTTTGTAGGTTTAACTGACTCTGAAGATTTATCATATTGATGCATATTTATCAATCCCCCCTGTATTTCTATATACTCTGATGAATCTTCATTTTTGGCTATATTAGATAACATAAATTGAATCTGTACATCTTCTCCAGAGATGTTTTTCGCTACTGACCCCAATGTTTTGGTGCAAAATGAAATACAATAGGGTAAACATTGGAGACAAACACAACACATAATACCTATCACAACTATAAACACTAGTCCTATAAATATTTGTTTTAACCATCCAAAATTGGGAAGCCAATTTGTTAACCAGCTCCAATCACCCCACATATTTTCATACTTTTGTTCAGGAGCTTTGGCCACATTCCTGATTCCTTTTGCAATGTCCATCACTGCTTCATGATTATCATCTATCTGTAAACAACAGTTAGTGTAATTAAATTTTCCACATACTCCTCCTTCAGAAGCTAATATATAATCTAAAGCCATTCTATTTTGAATTAGTTTCTCTAATTTGTCCTACCTCAGTAGCCAGTAATTCTAGAGCTGTAGCTGTTCGATTAGCTATTACTTCTACTACAGCTTGTAATCTTATTATTCCATTGGTCAAAGTATATAGCCCTCTATATCCTCCTATAGTCCACCAATTCCAGGTTACTGGTTGTAATTCTTTTATTATTCTATTTGTGGACCATACACCCTTCCAACTCTGTTCTGGGGCTTTAGCTATTTCCCTCTTTCCCCTATATTTTTTATACGACGGGATTTGTATTTCATTATCCTTTTCATTTTCTAATAAAAAGAATTCAGGTATCACTACCCTTGGATAGCAAATTCCAGTCCAATTTGGGGGCAATGCTCGATATGCTCTTGACCCACATATCCAGTATTGCCCTTTTCTTGCTGGCTGTCCCTTAGGAAAAGGTCCCTTCCAATTGCCATCCCATCCAACTGGTGCTATAGTCATATATTGTCCTCCATGTGGCACAGGCATAGCCCACAGGGTTGTTCCTACACATCTATATACTTTCCCTTCCTTTGTACATTTATCTGTAGGCCATTTATAAATGTTCCAATATTCAGTGAATCCTGCAGTTAATGTTCCATTTATAGGTCTCCAACCCCAGATCCATTCTGTTAACTGTTTTACTATCCCCTCCTTATTCTGCTTTCTGCATAAGCATCCCAATCTTAACCTATTTGCTGCATAAGAACATTGTTTCTTAGTGTATGTTGTTTTAAGTTGAGTACAGTTTACAGGGCCTGTTGTAAGTGGAATCTTGTCATATGTTTGAGTCCAAATACATTGACTTTCCCCCAACATTTGATGTCCTTTACTTCTATTTAAACAAAAGAAGCCAGTTGGAACATTACTTAACTCCCACATATGTCGGTTAGTATCAGTCCAATTGCTAGTGTAATCCTCAGCGTCAGGGAGCAGGAAATGTGGGCTCAAAGGAACTGCTCTCATAGGCCATTGAGCTATCAAAGGCCTGCCACACACCCAACATTTGGTTAAATTGAACACCTTATGCACTTGTTCTGCAAATTCCACAAACAAATTTTTACCTTCATTTCCCAGGTTGTTCTGGTGTGTCATCTTCAGGAATATTAGAATTAGAATCCACCCCCTCATGATTATTACACAGTATCTTACACCCGTAAATTGATTCACAATAACAATAACAATAATCACTAGCTATTACAGAGGTGACACATCTACCACCTAATTCTTACAATTTGCAAATCTACTTTTTCAGTTTCTAATGGTGTGACTTCTGTCTCAGTTATTGGCTTTACTTGTAAAAAGCCACTTTTATTTTTCTCATGAGTCACCACCAACACTTTTGTTGTTCGTCTGGGGTCACCTGGAATTCTAATAGAGATGTTTGAAATAGATGGGGATTCTGTTCCACCACCCATTCAAGTTCTTTTAAATGTGGCTTTCAGTCCTTGTCCTGGAATAACCGTCCAACCTCTTTCAGGTCCAGTCACCACCTTTGCTCGTGTGTAGTGAGTCCAACCTTTTTCAGCCCTCCGGACAGCAGATTCAGTAGTCAGTAACACTAGGTAAGGACCTTCCCAGCTTGGTTGTAAAGGTTCCTCCTTCCATTTACGAATTAGCACCCACTGTCCCGGCTGGATCTTATGGACTGGAAATTCCAAAGGAGCTGTTTGTGCCACCAAGCCTTCCTGTCGAAGAGAAGATAGAGATCCCAGTACTTGTTCCACATATCTTTTAATAAACAAATCAGATATTTCAGGTAGAATGCCCCCACCTTCTATTTTTGGCAATGGCAATCCAAACATCAATTCATAAGGTGATAATCCTACATTGGCCCTTGGTTTAGTTCTAATCCTAAATAGGGCCAATGGTAATACTTTGGTCCATGGCATCCTGGTTTCCAATATTAATTTCTTTAATTGATTTTTCAAAGTTTGATTTGCTTTTTCCACCCTCCCAGAACTAGAAGCGTGCCAAGCTGTGTGGTGTTTCCACCTGATCCCCAAAGAGTCCATTATTATTTTTAACACCTTTGCAGTGAAATGAGTTCCTCTATCACTGTCAAATGCTTCCACAATACCATATCTTGGAAGTATTTGTTCCAGAATAACTTTGGCCACTGCATTAGCTGTGGCAGAGGTGGTAGGAAATGCTTCTGCCCACCCAGTCAAATGATCTATCAACACAAGTAGATATTTTAATTTCCCTATCTTAGGCATTTCAGTAAAATCTATCTGCACATACTGAAAGGGTCTAATAGCTATTGGTCTCCCTCCTTTGGGAGCCTTAACACTCTGATGTTTATTAACCTTTTTCCGCAACAGCTGCATGGCGGATCAACTGGATGCAGCTCCGTAGGGGAGCGGAGCCGGCGGCGGGAATGGGGAAGCCTCGGAGGGTCGCAGGCTATGCCTGGACCCTGATTTAGGGTGCTGGGTCCTCCGGCGGCCGGGAGGAATTACTTACCGGTCGCCCCCGGTCGCCCCCGGTCTTCCTGAGCCCCCGGGGTTCGGCTGAGCTCCCCG